ATCCCTCGCAGTCAGCCTCCATTCCCCCTGCAATTCCTGACCTGATACTGCTATTGTGAGTACAGGCTTGTTGGAAGTATTTGCAGGTTTCCTGAGTGAGTACAGCCAAGCAAATTCTCTCCTTGCCCTCTGTCTCTTCAGTTTCACAGGCTACAAGGAGAAAAGTTCACAGAGGTGGGACTGCTGTGATAACATTTGTCTGAACTCGAGGATGCCTCCCCAGGAGAAAGGCCTGGGGGTGAACTGGATCGGCACTGCTCCTGCTGCCAAAGCGGGGAAAGGAGAGGCTGGAAGAGCCATTCCAACCCAGCCACGTTTGGTGTCAAGTCTCTTTGCTATAAAATGCCAAGCCGCATTTGTCAGCGCCTAAAGCTCAGCCTGGGTGAAAGACATCATTCTAAGATGCAATTTGTATAGCATTTACTAGTGAAATAGATTTATTTTTTTTTTAAGCCGTAAAATATCCAACCTTGTTTCATATGGTTGCAGCTTATCTGTGTCCTCTGTCCTCTCCAAACTCAATCTCCTATTGCACCTTGTCAAGAGGACAGTACCGGTCCCAGATTATCAGGAGTAAGCTCAGGACCTCTGCATTGATGAGGATGTGGAAGGTTGGCTGCCTTTCATGGTGCCTCGTTATCTTGGTGGTATTTGCACTTTCCACAGGTCCAGGGTCAAAATGTACCACTTAGTGGTTCAGTTCAGAAATCTCCAGGCATAAGTGACCCCTTTGATTCACAGACAAAAGCAAGAGGACATGGCAGGCTGCAAGAAGGTAACATGGCTTAGCCAGGCCTTCTGCAGGACAAGCTTAATTTGAATGGCCAGGGAACAGCGCTGAAGTCTTCCTGCCATAATTAGTCAAGAAGAGTACGCTGAACTGGAAACAACAGGCCGTCGGAGTCCCTTGGCCCTCGGCTTAGCTGTGGATGGAGCTAACACCAACGCAGACCGAGGGATATTGTGTTCAAGAGTCCTCCTGAACACAACACCTGACCCACAGCGCATGTGCTTATCACAAAGCCTGCAAGCCTGCAATCTTTTTTTTTTTTTTTAAATTTGTAACAAACAGACACCTGTATTATAAATGTAAACAGAAATCTATGTTTATATAAGCATGTAGTATTCCTAGAAATACACAAATACAAATATAAACGAGTAAAAAGCAAATGCGGACTCAGGATCTCAGCAAAGCTGTGGAAAAATTAAAGCGCCGAAGTTATTTATGCAACTAGCAAGTCACCCCGTGTGCTGGGGGGGTGCGGATGACGAAAAGCACTGCCATTGCAGGGAGCAAACCCTTTCTCCGAGAATGACACGTATAGTTTGGCACCTGTGCTCTTTGCCTCCCGTCTCACATGCCCCTCAAGGCAGCTTCGTTATTCAGCGGCAAAACAAGCAGCAGCAGCACACAGAAAAGTCGTGGCTGCCCCATCCCTAGAGATGTTCAAGGCCAGGTTGGACGGGGCTTTGAGCAACCTGAAACAACCGTAAAAATTCAAATATACTCACTGGTGTTGCTCCGGTTTCCTCCGTCGATCAGTGTCCGTTTCAACTGGGTTATTCCTCTTCCATTTTCCACGTTAAACCTCTCTGAGCAGGGACTCCCCAGGCGTCTCCCCTCAGCAGCAGCCGGCCAGCCCTGCACCCTCAAAAAGCAAAGGGGCCCTCGCTCAGCAGCCACGTCTGCAGGCCTTTCTCTCTGCATTCCCCTTTTTCTTTGGGGCCACTCTGCTTCGATGAAATGAAATAAAATAAAAAACGTCCCCCGCGGCTATTTAGCCCAGCCCAAAGCAGCATATGGGAGAAAAGAAGGAAGAGCAGGAAGGGAATCTCGGCCCCTGTCATGGCCGCCGGGGCCTCCTGGGGCCACCAGGCCCAGCCACCCTCCCCTCAACATGCAAAACACCCGAAAATCACCTAAAAAAACCCACCACCCCCTGCTCCCTGTGGCGTTTAGGGCGAGTATGGACCACGCCTGAGGCGTTCACCACCGAAAAAGGTGAAATAAGTAAATTTTTTTCCTCAGAAAGCCCCGAGGTCTTGGGAGGGGGGCAGCTCAGGCAATGGCCCCTGTGTTTCATCTTCCCCTCATTTTCCAGCCAGCCAAATAACAATAAACGGTGTCATTTTTGATATGATGTATTTATATTTACATGGTACATTTTAAAGCAATAGCTACACTGATCATACATATTAGAAACAATAAAAAAAGAAGTTAAGAACTAAAATGTACATCATACACTTGTATATATATTTTTTTTTTTTTACACAGAGGTAAAAAGGCTTATAAAAATCAATACAACAGGGTTTTAACTTTTAGTATATAGATACAATAATGATGAGGCTTCAGGCACTTTAATTTGTTAACGTGAGCGATAGCTTGGAAAAAAAACCCAAAAACTTTCCACAACAGAAAAAAAAATTTTGGTTAATGTTTTGTTACCACAGATACAAAAATAAAATCTGAATAATTTCTCTCAAATGATTGATGTCAGTATTGCAAAGCTGACTGGGAGAACGCTACACACTGTTCAGCAGCAGTGTGGAAATTAAGGAGAAATATTTACAAAAAAACACCCATTTCTATCATTGTGCCCTTACACCACTGCCTTCACAAACCAAATAACACACGCAGCAAAATCTACAAGTATTACAAAAACCCAAGAGAAGAGGGAGGAAGTAGGAGGGGAAGAAAAAAATTAAAAAAGAAAAAAAAAAGAAAAAAATAAGAGGGATTTTTTTTTTTTTTAACTTTTATTTCCAGACATACAGAAAGGCTTGGAGTATGTCTACTTTACTTAAATAAATAGGGGCACTTCAAGACCGGACAAAAAGCTGTAAGATCTTTTTGTAGTGTTGTGCTTTAAAGAGAGAAGATCTTACAGATGTTTGTTTACGTGAAACAACTTTGAGAACAGAAATAAAAGGAAAAGGTTGTTCCATTAATTTTATATTTTTTTTTGAGGCTGGCTTGATGTTTACTAGACACCATTGAGAGATTTGTCAACTGCTATTAGGCACAAAATATTTATATTTCATTCAGCAAACCCAGACACATCACCCAGAGTGTAACACTCCATCCCTTTTCCACTATCATTCTTTTTGTGGTTTTTTTTTTTTTTTCCCCAACCGAAAAAATCCCCAGCAACTGCTACGAATTAAGCCTACCAAACTCTATAGTGTATAAGCACATTGCATACTTAATTCATGGTTGACTAAAAAGCTGTGATTAACTCTCAGAGGAACCGTTGGGACATTCCACCAAGAAAGAATGGCAAGCATTCCTTTTACATTTATTTGGCAAATTAATTAAAAAAAATAAAAAATTCCTCTCTTTTTAAGACTGATGTCAATGTGCAATAGAGGGAGGGAAAGGACATGCGCCCACTGGCAATTTACTGCAGAAAGAAATTATGGCAGGAACAGCAGTGCCAGCTTTGACAAGCCAATCCCTAGCTGCCTCAAAGTATTCAGATTGTACTATGCTAGTTAGAGCTCACTGCGCTAAATCATTTTTTTTTTTTTTAATAAAAATTATTTGGCTATTCCTTGTAATATATTAGAAAAATACTCTTTTTCCAAGCTAATTACAAGCCTTGTACACAAGACAACATGACATTTAAAACAAAAATAAAAAAAAAAAATTAAAGTAATTTATCCTGCTGTTTGCACCTTTTGCATCCACTTGATAAATCTGGGTGGTGAACTGGGGAGGGGAAAGCCAGGGAGATGCTTCAGTCTGGTTCCTGCAAAGACTCACATGCTTAAAATCCGACATACAGAGTCAAGGAAACGCCAGCTGCACGCACAAAACGTTGAGACGTGTGTAAGCATCTGGAGGACTGGGACCGCAGGTCAGGAAATGGAAGTGGTGGTCAACATCCTGGCTTTTGATTTTAAATACCTGTTTAGATTGCTAAATGTAGTTTCTACCGTGGACGCGTATGTTCTCATGCTCATGTATTATACAGAAAACAAACAAACAAACACGATTTTCCATATAATCCACCACTTAATGCAGCATTTCCCCAGAATTGCCATAATAGTGCTTTTGACATTGCATTGTTAGTAATTCTTTGCATAACAACAATTTTCCTCATCTGGAACCTTAGTGTTTTATTCACAGATCATTACATGGCTGGCTAATAAAGAAGTTCCCTTTCTTTTAGGCAGAACTCTGAAAACACAGTTTTATTTTACCAATGCTATTTAGGGGAAAAAAGAAAACCCTAAAATTTAAGTTTCCCTTTCAAGTAGTGGTCTGAAATGATTACAGGTAAGGAGAACTACCAGATTCCCAATGGTTATGTGACTATGGTAACTGAGCCTTGCTTTCTGTTCACAGAGCTTAACGAACAGAGAAATAATTTAAGATGTTTGCTGAAGGAAATGACGATGGACTCTAGAAGAGAAACTGCAGCTTAGATGGCTATTTTGGCTTTAGAAAACAGAACAAAAAACCCAAAGAAAACCAGTGACAGAAATACTGTGTTGTGGTACAAGTTTGTTACTAGCACACCTTCTATACACACACACAATAACTTGACGGCAAGTTAAAATGTCTTCAAGTGAGATTTCATTCACTACACCACCCCATTTCTAGAAATGCCAAAACTTGCTAACGCGCTGATGGGACTGCGGAAGCAAGACGGACACAACCTGGAGATGTTCTACAATCCACCACCATTTAAAGCAGTTCTTGTCTCAAACTCATTTTAACTGGAAAAAAAAAAAAAAAGGAACATGTACAAGACAGTCTGTTTTGATTACAGATTAATAATACAAAAGTCTATGCTGTAGGTTAGTTAGTTAGAACACTTGATGAGCAAATCAATGCAGTGTGAGCCCCAGGCGACCGAATGTAAAGTGATCCGAACTGGTGGTTTCTGGATGCTGCTGGGCACAGTGGCTGCATCAAAATGAGTGATCTCAATGCTCCAAAACCAAGGTGTTCCTCGAACTACAGGAAAAAGGTAACACTTTGAATGCATCTGTAGTCATCCAGCAGCTTTGTGTTTTCCACCACAGCACCTGCACATGACCCCACAGTGGTAACAAGCCCGAAGCGGCAAGTAACAGCACATACATGGAGCAATGAAAGACAAGGCGATAAGGGCCATCCACCGGAGGCAAAACATTTCATCACTGGTGTCACACGAGCAAGGATCTGTATAGTCTCCTTCTGGATCGGACATACAGTGATAGAGCATAGTGTCTGCGCACCACATACAGCTCACTCGATGGATGCAAGTCTTGACGCGGTCTGGAGCATCCTGGCATTGACCCCGTTTGTTCTCCTCGTGGTTGAACATGTCCCTGCAGTACACGCACCGCGACCTCTCACCATCTTCCTTCCGCCTGGGCTTAAATTTGACAGGTTGAGTCTTTATCACAGCACCCTTGATATCTTCACCCAGGTCAAAGTCCGAGTTGTCTACGTAAGGATAAGTGTATTCGTGTTTTGAGGCCTCGCTTTTGGCAAAACGTACGTAGGAGTCCATGTCATCAGGATCAAAGTTCTTTCCTCGTGCTGGGGCATGGCGATAGTCCTCGTATCCAGTCATCCAAATCTTTTCCCGAGGATTGATGCGCACTATCTCCTCATCATCGTCTGGAAAGTTGACGTGCCGGTAGGATCGCGGTACTGACTGCAGAAGTAGGGATGGAGATGAAGAGGGAGAAAAGATAAATAAGCTCACTTTGCCATCAGCAATCACTGTCTCCTTGCTTTGTTAAATATTGGCTTTTCACTGTTTTGTCTTTCCTTCTTTGTCAGCCCTTCACCGTGACCCATCACAGAGTTTCAGCCTTTGACTGATGAACAAGTACAATTGTCACAGACCTACAACGGTCTGTGTGCACGTGGTACAACGTAACATATTAAATCACAGTGTAACGCCCGCCCCCACCTTTTTTTTTTTTTTTTTTTAATAACTGGAAGCCATGTAAAGCTAATTGAAAAGGAAAGGGGGAGGAAGGTAGGGAGGTCTTTCAGGGATGTGGGGGGAAAACCAAACACCAGTCTTAGCTATGGCAGACAGAGCCCTTTAGGTGGCAACACTGGGAAGAAACCTTACTTGTTCTAGATGGTAGTGGTCAGAGCTATAATGGTCGTGAAGGTGTCCACGAGTGCAAATTCTTCGATGTTCGCAGGATGCAGGAGAAGCCAGAGTTCGCACAGGCTGTTCCCTTTTTTGAGAGGAGTTAGAGGAGCTATCTGTAGCATTCTGTTTTAAATGGAAAGGGGGGGGGAAATATCGTCATACATTCAGCTGTTACCGCACGCAGTATTAAAAGACATGTTTTGCCACTCACTGACTGTGCGCACACCTGCAATACTGGCAACACCTGACAGCAGGCAGCTTCATAAAGTTTCATATAAAATACTTGAAAGAGGCAGATCTGTTGCCAGGCCGTAAAAGCTGTTGCCACACACATGGAAAAATAATATGCCATAGCCTACCCGTGACATATTCACCAACACTGCTTGTATTTGCTTGGCATGCTATTTGTTATACTGGGCATTGCGGGATGATGAGCGTTCAAGGCTAGAAGCTCCCTCTGAAGAGCAAATTTAAACTATGTCAAATGATGCAATCGTGTTAAGTCCTGCGGGCAGACTCAGACAGAGCATCTGTGTGCCCAGGCTGTGCCCCACTAGTTGCCCAGGCTATAAAAACACTGGTAATTTTGTTGACCTGCAGGCTTCCCATTAAGCCAAAAACTCCTTTACATGTTCTTCTCCATGCACTTGCCAAATTCCAGTTCATCACAGGCTACTTGAGTAATCAGCTTTCCTTTAAAAACTTCAGGGTTTTTTCTTCCTGTTTTGTCACTACTCTCTAATGTGCAACGAATGTTACTTCTGTTTTTATACGTTCCTGGCTCACTGTGAGCACCTTCTTTAGGTTAATTAGTTACATCATTACACAACAGCAATCACGGAAGAGTGAAATATCACGCAATAACATGCTGCTGCCAATACCCGCAGCTTCTTCATATACGTATATTTCTCCTCCTGGAGAAGTACACAGTGGGGTACCAGTCTCAGCCATCCTTTATCAACAGCCCTTCCTTGGTTAGAACGGCTTCCATACAATATCTAGACATTCAGGGGTTTGCCCATTAACCATCTTCATAGATTGATTGGGCTTTTTCATATTACCACGAATATCAAGAGGACAGCTGTTAAATGCACTAACAGATCAGGAGCAGGAAAAAGAGCCTCCATGCACAACGATAAGAAGAGCTGTAACATTGCACATGCCTAAAATATTGGTGCTTTGAACTAAGAAAAATCTCCATCCCCCTCCAACTAACAAGCTGTGTTGCAGCTACGACGAGTCCAAGGGAAAGGCTTCCATTTGCCACAACAATTAGCTAGAGACACAACCTCAAGAGCGGAGAAAAGTTGTATCGGTAGTGGGAGAAGACTGGTTTTACCTGAAAAACCTTCTCTCCTTGTCAAGAATGCCCTCTCTAAATATTATTTTCCAATGAATAGTACTAGACACGTCTCTTACTCCAAGAATACAAGAACGCTCATTGTGCACATTTGTTTATTCTTAAAACAACGCTCTGCAAGACTCTTGTCCAAAGGTGAGCACACCTTAAAGCATTACAACACAAAATAGATGTTAATCCTCTTCAGCCGGTACAGCACTTAAAAGCACTGAACTCCCAACTTACTATATTGAAAGCAAACACACAGATCTGTTTGCAGTGTGATGTAAAGCCAGGCTGGGTTATCCGAGAGGTACAAGCAGGATGAGTTTTGAATTGCTGACCCACCCATGCGGAACAGACTTTTAATGCATGTGTTTGTTTTGGTTGTTGTTTTTTTTTTTTTTTTTTAAAAAACAAAAGTACCTAGAAGCAGAACAACTCTTCAAGACAGTTAACACCACCTCTAAAACCTAACTGCGCTGGTATTCAGACTCTTTTTGAAAAGAAGTGGTTTCATCAGCCCTGTCTTCGTAACTTATTATACACAGGCACTTCAAATCTGGGGTTTAAACCCTTCAAAGCCAATTCTTGTGCCTGTAACTTTAGGTCCTACAATATCTAGCACATGCTGGGGATGTTTCAAAAGAAAACAAGCAGCTTCTACAAGCCTGTACTTCGCAATAACATCAAGCTCCCAATCTATGTGGAAAACCCGAGAAGAGTTAGGATTTAGTTACAACAGCCGCCTCACACGAGTACCTTTTTGGAGTGCCGTGTGTGGTGCAGACCCAGATGCGGAGTTGTAATTTAAGCTTCTCCGAACAACAACAGAAAGGCACACACCCCATAACCCTGGCAGCCTCAGCCAGTACTCTCAAAGTTAAACTTTGACTGGCATGAACCAAAAAGGAGGCAGGGCCTTAACACGGTGCCGTGCCAGCCAGCAGGACCCTTCACCTTCACCAGAAGCACGGCCGAGCCCTGCCGGGACAAGCCTTTCGTGGATACCCTTCCGAAAACATCGTGGGTGCTCACGGTCAAAATAACGAAGCCTGGGAAAATTACCCAACTGGAGGAGGTTGCACATATTGGCCTGCAACCTCCTCGCCCTTCTAGATGAAAATAAAAATCCCAAACTGGTTATAACTGCTAGATAATCTCAGCGGGGCAGCTGGGAGCTATAACCAGCCCCCCAAACCGCCTACTATTTGCTGCCTCTCAGGGAAGGCAGTATTTCTGCAACAGGCAATTGGAAAAGAGGCTGTAGTGATTTTTATCTCGCCCGATTCTTATCTACCCTTGCTTTCCTCCACACCTTATTCTCCTTCAGACCTGGCAGGGCAACCGTGCCTCTCCTCCATGTGTGTTGACATGGCTACAAGACCTGTTTGCAACATACCACAGGGGCTGCGGCTCCGGCCTCCGCTTTCACCTTATTAAAAATCGCTGCATTTCCATGTTCAATGTCCTCAGATTAGAGGGGCAGTTTGCCAACACAAACACTTGCTCTAAGCGCCCAGAAAGGGAGAAAGCAAGCTACCCGAGACTCGGTCCCTGCTCGCTCGTCCGTAAAAAAGTTCCTGCTGCCTCCTGGTTGGTGACGCTGAAGGCAACTGGTTGACACACGCAGCATCTGCAGGGTTACCTTCCTGACCATCGACTGGGATAAGCACTGCTGCTTTCCAACAAGGTCCCCCATCGAAGCTTCCGACTTCTGCAGGAGAAGAGAGAAGGCTCTCGACACATAGAAATGAATGGTTTGAAGACTGAGGGAGAAAAAGGTAGAAAATACCCTCCACCCGAAGGTCACCAATGAACTCCACAGTCTCCTCACCTGTGCTGGTGAGCACACTCATCACTGGTCTGAAGAGAGAGGTGAACAACAAGATCACACAGTTTTCTGATGAAACTTATGTTATTCAAGGGAGTAAAAATGAAAGCTGACCCTGAAAACTCACTTAATCTTGTAATTCTGAGAGACCGGATGTTAAAAAATAATTAAAAAAAAAAAATTACCCTTAAAGTGCCAAAAGTGACAGAAACACCTTGGTCTGACATGTACAGTGATGCACTCTGAGCCAGCTACAGCTGCTCAGAAAAGAGGCCTTGGGGTTAAAACTGACAGCCCTGTGACAACGTCAGCTTGGTGGCTCAGCAACAGATTTAGGAAAAAAAAAAAAAAAAAAGGAGCAGCAACAAAGATGATCATCACGGCCTTGCATTTATCTGCTGTGCTTCCCCAATCTGCCTGTGGTTCAGGCTCCCCCTCCGCCCTCTGTCAATAAGGGTATTTCCACCATGGCAAGCTCACAGAACCACGGACAGGACAATTGAGGACACGGAACGGCTTCTCAACAACAGCTAACGAAACAGCCCGGGTCTCTGTGGATGAGATGGAAAGAGACGATGGAAGGGACCATGAAGATGGGAAGAGAAGTAGTCTACCGAATCTTGAGTGCCGTGGGAATGTGAGTAGGAAGAGATTGTTCTTTGGTATCCTTCCGAAGAGAAGATCGTGAGGCATTCACTGGAACAGAGAAAGTTCAAACAGAACAGGGATATATCTAGGAAGGACGTGGTCTCCAGAGTCAGGATATATGGAAAAAATATGTCCCAAACCCTCGAGCCACCGGTCTGTCGGAGAAACACTGTCTTCCTTAAAGCCTGTTGAACCCAATCCAGATCCAGTATTTGTTTTTGAGGGGAAACTATTGAAAACATGCCCAGTAGCCACATAAGACAAATGAACCCAAAACTAAAGTTGTTGGAACAGGGAGTCCAGTAAGGAAATCTGTTTCAACACGCCCTCAAACGCTCAATTAGAGAAATTTGTGCTGCACGTATGAGAGCTTTGCGATTGCTATGGCGGTCGCGAAGTCTTGTGGTTTCACTGCTTGGATAACAAAATCATTAATCATGACCATAATAGTAATTTTATAAAACCCATGCAACACATTTCCTTTTGCAAGTGAGCTGTACGTATCTGAGCAAGCACACGTACCGCGTGTTTCATATGGCCGATTTGAGAAACGACGTTGGGCTTCTACATGCAAATGATTGCACTGTGATCATTTTAAAAAAAGAAAAAAAGTGTCCCTATTTCCCCCTCAGACTTTCAGAAGTGACTCATTAAATTAAAAAACCCTAGTCATTAGTAAAGAAGATTATGTTAATCATTTACTGCAGTTTACTTCTCATTGAAATGGATTTGTTACACAAGAACGGCCAGCTAATCAGGTGCCTAAGTAATATTCTGAGATAAGCATCTATCATAAAAACCATTGAGAAAAAGAAAGCCTTCTCCTGCTCCTGAACTGGACTGATCGCCTTGCCTCTAATGGCTTTACAGAATAGGTTCACCTCGTGTGATGCAACATCCAAGGGGGACTACGAAAAAGAAGAAAGATTCATCTTCAAATTACAAAGCAATAAAATCCACAGCAGCTTGTCAGAAATCGGTTGCCAGAGGGGAATTATGGAGTTCTGTCACTTGTAACTTCCCGAAGTGCTCTCAGCCAGCTAAAGCATTCGCAAGTGTGCTGTAAAAAATAATTGTGGGTCAAGCAAGACAGGATGCTTTCCCCCCGCCTCTAGGATTTTAATGGTTACATGAGGCGGAGAGAACAAGGGGGAATAGAAGTATCATTATGTTGAACAAGTAGTTTTGCAAGTAATGGTCCTAAAGGAATCAAAAACCTGTGCCAGCCCAAGCCCCTCTACAAGCCAAGCTGCTTTCTATTGCCACGCTCTGCTTTGCTCATCTCCCACCGCCGTGCAAGCC